TAAAAGCACAAGTCTTGGCAACTGCTCACCATGAATGGTGATAATGGAAAACACTGGGTCAGAAAACTCAGATAGCAACCCTAATTCTAGGAGCTGTGTGAGTTTAGGGAAGCCATTTGTGGCAGATACAACTAAGGGTGACCCCATGAGTCAGACCTTTCTGTTATCCTCTCCCCTTGAGTGTGGGTGAAATCTGCGACTTGCTTCTATCTAATAAAATATGGCAAAGGTAAAGGTACTTTGCCGATGTAATTAAAGTCCCTAAACAAAAGGTGGGTTGTCCTGGGTGGGCCTTACCTAATCAGGTAAGCCCTTTAGAATTGGGTTTAGAGGTCAGAGACTTGAGCCAGCAGACACTCACTGTCCCCATTGTTGGCTTTTCAGAAGCAGGCTGCCATGAATTCTATGCCTCAAAAAAAAAAAAAAAAAAGAAAGAAAGAAATTCTGCCAATAACCTGAGGGAGCTTGGAAACAGATCCTTTCCTAGTTGAGCCTCCAGATGAAAATGCAGCCCCACCACACATTGATTTCAGTTGTGGGAGACCTTAGTGGAGAACCCAGCTAAACCATGCCTAGACTTTTGACCTACAGAAACTGTGAGGTAATAGATGAGTGTATTTTAAGCCACAGTGTGGTAATTTGTTACACATCATAGAAAATGAATATATCCTTTAAGTTCTCTGCACCCTTATCTATAAGACGGATAATAAAAATCTCCATCTCAGAGAACACTTTTAAGGACCTGAGAGGATCATAAACAAGAAATCACTTCTTAAAATCTAGTCCCAATGTTAAAAGTTGTTAGAAGAAAGACATTAGAATTGGTCTCACTTCATGATGAGCAGACAACCATTCTTCTCCCACTGAACTCAGAGGACATTTGTACTGTCCCACAGGCTTCTTGTTCTCGCTGGTGTCAGAGCTGCAAAAACAACCTGCTTCAGAAACAACTGCTTTGTGGAGTAGAGACAAATCCCCCAGACTTGGGGTTCCTGGAGGATCTTCAGCACATCCATCCTGCTCCCTGGCTCACTTTCCCATCTGGACAACGAGAGCATTCATCTGCATGAGTGTGTTTAAATGCAGGAATATGAACAACGATTATGGTGTCCTTACCACGTGCCAGCATGTGCAAAGGGCTTCTCATGACTGACCTCATGGAATCCTCAGTGCAACCCTGAGTGCCAACTTTAGTGCCCGGTGCCTGGGTTAGAACCCTAGCTCTGCCCTAAATAGCTGTGTGGCTCTCAACAAGTTACCTCCACTTTCTGAGTCTCCATTTCCCAGTCTATAAAATGAGTATACTGGGAGTATCCATCTGTATTAGTTTTCTGTGCTACATAACATATTACCCCTAAACCAGCACCTTAAAGCAACACCCATCTGTTATCTCATAGTTTCTGAAGGTCTGACGTCCAGGCTCGGTTTAGCGGGATTCTCTGCTCAGGATCTCACAAGGTTAAAATCAACAGTCAGCCAGGCTGCATTTCTTTCTGAAACTCAAGATCCTCTCCCAAGCTCCCTGGTTGTTGGAAGAATTCGTTTCCTTGCAGTGGTAGGAATGGAGTCTCCCCTGCGTCTTGCTAACCATTAGTTGGGGGCTGCTCTTAGCTCCTCAGGGCCATTTGCCATTTCCATCAACATGAAGTTTGCTCCTTCAAAGCCAACAGGAGAGCATCTGCTGCACCTTTGAATTTCTCTCATTTCTTCCATCTCTGACCACTAGATCCTCTGTCCATCTAATTAGGTCACACCCACCTACACCTAAGGGAGGATGGGGATTATTCAGAGCATGCACACCAGGGGTGGTAATCTTAGGGACTACCTTTGAACTCTGCCCACCACGCTACCCAACAGGGCTGTGGTCAGGATTGAACGGGTTAGTACATGTAACAAACTTAAAACATTGGCTGGCACGTGGGGCCATGTGTCCAAGAATGGAAATCATCTCTCCTGACTCCACAGCCCATCCACTTTGAGACCCATCTTGTTTTTCTTCTTATCACAGTCTGTCTTATCTCCTGGTTGGATTTTATCCACCTGCCTCCCTCTCTGGACTGGAAACACCTTGACAGGAGGAGCCATATCCTCCCAGCACTTAGCACAGTGCCTGCTACGTCCTCCAAGATGGTCCCCAATTCCTCCCGGTTGTCATGTCCTTGGGCATCATGGCTCGCCTTGCTCTCTCTTGGATCACGCACTCGGGGGGAGTCCAGTCACAACGTCAGGAGGATGGACAGACACACCTGGGGAGGGACTCCTGCCAATATCAAGCACCAGGTGAGGGAGCCACCTTGGATGTTGACCCTCCAGCTCCTGTCACACCTTCATGAGACCGCGGCCCCAGCCAAGATCTTGACTGCATTCTCACAAGAGACCCCCAAGCCAGAACCATCCAGCTAAGCCACTCCTGAATTCTCAGCCTACAAAACCTTTGAGAGATAGTAAGTGTTTATGTGTTGAGCCACTAAGTCTTGCAGTAATTTGTTACACAGTCATAGATAACTCATATAGTCCTCGATACATATTTGGCAAGATTAATATTGAATACATAATAATAACAGCTAACACTTACTTAGCCGCTACCCACCATGCCAGTCACTATTCAAAGAGCAACACAGGGGCCGGCCCGGTGGCGCACTGGATGGTGCGCCGCTTGGGAAGCACGGCGGCGCTCCCGGATAACTCATATAGTCCTCGATACATATTTGGCAAGATTAATATTGAATACATAATAATAACAGCTAACACTTACTTAGCCACTACCCACCATGCCAGTCACTATTCAAAGAGCAACACAGGGGCCGGCCCGGTGGCGCACTGGATGGTGCGCCACTTGGGAAGCACGGCGGCGCTCCCGCCTGAGGGTTCGGATCCCACATGCAGACCGGTTCCCGCTCACTGGCTGAGGACCCATGCAGGTATCTCAGTAGACAGAGCACTGACCTAACAAGGTTCTTACATGAACTGTGTTTGGCCCAAGAGTTGCTAGTGGGTTTACAAGGTATCCCGGAAAGATGTGCCCAGACCTGTTGGGGCACCAGTCTGGGACCCTCAGCCTTGTTTGGAAAAGTTTCCCAGACAGCCTCTATGTGTGGGCGCCTGGCATATAACAGCTGCACAATGAACATTTGCTGAATTACTCAAGTTGAAGTCTTGGGGAGGCAGGAGCTGTCAAGGAGGCACCTCACCCTTCTCCCGCTCTCCACATCTTCCGGGCCCCTGCTGAGCCTGAGACTTCAGGCTCGTCGGTTGTCACTCAGATGTAACTTAGTGTTTCCTCCTAGCTAGTGGGATACCCATCAGAATAACAATCACATGCCAATGTCCCTGTTTTCTCAGAATCCAAAGGCATCTACTCTCTGATCTTGATGGTACACATTCCCCTTCCGCTGAGAAGAGTGCCCACATTTTCCTTTTGGAAAGGAAACCCATGTTTGGGTCAGGGCCAGTGAGTCAGGTCTGGCAGTCCCTATCACACCTGCAGTGGTCCTCCTTTTGTTCAGGCTACTTTGAGTAGGGCTTCTGTCACAAAAGCCCTGAATGATCCATGAAATAAAACATGTGCCTCAAAAATGATGGACGTTAGAAAGGACAGGATGTGGTTTGGGCAGCATGAAGCGTGCTCCAGGGCCAACACAAGCATGATCACCTGGTGTGTGTCAGAAATGCGGAATCCCAGGCTCCACTCCAGACCTACTGAATTGGACTCAGCATTGCAAGAAAACTCCAGAAAACTTCAGGTGACCAGAGTGCCCCATACAGGCTAGGGAGCCCAGGGACAAGCCACTGTTGCCACACAGACTATGGAGTGAGACTTGCTGGCTCACATCTGGGTCCGTGAGGAGGTCGTCTGACCTCTCTGTGTCTCCATTTCCTCATGAGAAAAATAGGGCTAATGATACCATCCACCTCATGGAGTCCTTGCAGGATCTAATGCGATGATGCATGCGACAACACGATGAGTACAATGCCTGGCACGCAGCATGTGTGCAGGGATGTCAGCTCCAGACACACGGTCCTGGTAGAGAATTGATAACAGGGGAAGGGATGCTCAGAAGAGGAGAGGTCATCTCCAGCCACAGAGGATCTGAGCAGCTATGAGGAAGAGTTAAGAATTTGCATTGTGTCTTGAAGAATCTGTAAACTTTGGGTGAAATATCGACAGTAGGGGAGAGCGCAAGAGCTTATCAAGAGAGGGGAATGTGGAGAACCAGGAATGGGTGCACCAGGGTCTAGGTCCAGAGTGTGGGTGAGGGTGGAGGCAGCACCAAGGAGGAGATCCTGGGAAGGATGAGACCGAAAAATCTGGAGGAGCAGGGCAGATGGGGGGTGGGGCTGGTTAAGGAATTTGCTTTTTAACTTGTACATAATGGCAAGTCTGAAAGGTTTTGAGCAAAGCAAAAAAAACCATCAAAGAATGACATGATGAAAGAGTGGTATTAAAACCCACATGTGCTACCATTTGCTGTGGGTGCGTGTGCACTTGAGCATACCCCGCAAAGAAAAGTCTGCAAGGGTGCACTCCTAAATGTTAATGGTGATTGCCCCTGAGTGGTGAGATTACCAGGATGTTTTAATTGTCTTCCCTTTGCTCATCTGTATTGTCTAATTTTTCTGCAAAGGACATACATTGCTTGCATAATTTAAAAAGCCATAAAAGCTGTAAATAATTAACACACTCTTTCTTCAGGACTTAAGTTGGATGGATGTGATTTCAAGCCAGTTATTTCAAATAGTTGCTGGATTCCTGGCCTTAGGCACTACTGAAAAATCTCACAGACGATGAGGGCTATACGGGCTGGGTTGATGGAGAATCAAATTTAGTCCTTTAACCAAGGAACTCTAGACCCAACGAAACAGGAACTCTTTCTCTGGAGCACAGAAATGCCTTTTGAAGCCCATAGTAAGTGCTTTTTGGGGGGTTAGCTAAATCACAGTTTGCAGTTCCTGAAACTGTGGGCACATGCAGAAATAACAGAGGTGGCCATATGCCCTACCTTTTAGGGTTGATCCTTGGTTTCTTCTGCTTGCTCTTCCCACGAGATGTCTTCGCTCTCCTATGAGGCAGTCCTTTCTTCTGTTCTGGCTCAGACAGCAGGTCCTGGGACATCGCCCCTGGGACTGTTGGGTAGGAAAGCTGAAAATACCAGGGACGTTGGCATAACATTCCTCAAAGCCCTCATGATGGGGACAACCCAGAAGGGTTCTCTCTCTGCACACAGGATGCCTGTCTACACAAATCAAGGAACAGAAATGCTACATTGACAAATGGCCTGAACCTGTGAGGGGCTCCAACCAGGAACTGAAAAGAACCTTCTGGAACCCTGCTTGGGCTGGATCCACAGAGGAAAGCCCAGACATTTGGTGTTAACTGGAGGCCTAGGGAACATCATGGCCAGCTCCTTTTCCCTCCCCCAAATCCGCATCCCTAGGAACCCCCACACCTTTTGAAGGAAGGAGGGCTAAATGAGACCTTGGATTCCCCCTCTCAGTCTTTATTAACCTGAAGAGAGCACCACCCCACCTGCAGGGTCCACCTGGGAAAAGCAGAACAGACTGCAAGCTCTGGACTCCAGGCCTCATCATCGTTTGATAGAGTTAAATTAGGACTGAGGCTCCAGGACCCTCTTTGTTGGCTCTGGCCCATGCCATCCCAAAACAGGACTAAGCCCTCAATTATCAGACCCAGATGCATGGACTCACCCTCAAGAGAGAACTATAAACTCATCATTTCATCACGAAGTGACAATACCCTTGAGCATCCACCACGTTTCCCTTTTTGACACTGCTCTCAGGGGTAGATTTGGGTCTCACCACTGTAATTATTTCTAGAGTCCAGGTATAATGACTCTCTTTTTTCAAGAGTTTTGTTTTTTGTTTTTGCATGAAGTCTCTCTCTCAAGTTTCTGGTTTATAACCTTAGGTTACCCAGGGAGCTTTCCTGGGCAAAGTTTCATTTCACTTTTTGCATCTGTTACCAGGAAGCTCGGAGTTAAATTTTATGTCTAATTACGAATAATATCTCACCCAGAATGTTTGAAAGAGCAACAATTCTTTTCTTTGAAATTTATTTTTGCATTACTTTCGTTTGGATTTGCATTTTTGGCCTCTATTCTTTCCTGTCCGATACAGAGTAGCTCCAGCTTCCCTCGGGAGCTGGCTGAGAAGCCATTACAGTGGACAGTGACGTGACAAGAGGTAGCGTCCCATTTCCCTTCATCACTACAAGCCCTGCCTGTTAAGCATGCTCTCTGAGCCCCCCCAGGTCCTGGGCAAAGCTGGGCATTACCTTGGATATCTGCGCCAGCCCTTCTCTCAGGCTCATCCTGGTCCATCCTCCAGTGCTCAAGGGCAGGGGTTGCGGACTGTCATCCCGGAGGCTGCCACCAGGGAAGTGCAGAGCCGAGTACACAGAAGCGGCCTTCTCTTTCTGCTCCACGGGCAGAGGGAGGCTGCGGCTCAAGCAACACCACGTGAGCCGGGGCTCGGCCCTTAGTGAGGGGAAGGGGCTCTGGGCCCCGCAGCTCCTGTGGGTCCCTGAGTGGGGAGATGAGGTCAGCTCGGGCCGGCCACGGGGCATGCCCTGGGGCTGAGTGAGCACTGTGATGAAGGAGCCAGGCTGGAAGGGGCAGCCAGGACTGAGCCTTGCCAGGGAGTTTGAAGAAGGGTCTTCTGGGGCATTCTCAGACATTTCCCCCAACGCCCAGGGATTTGGAACACCCCAAGAGGGCATGACTTTGGCTGAATTGCTGCCCATGCAGACAGCATGTATCTCAGCCTCTGTGTCCTGGGCCATTTGGGTGTCACATGTGGGGGTGGGCAGGAAGGAGCCTGTCTCCTTGGGGGCCCCTGTGGCTGAGCCAGGAGACTCCCTGGCTGCTGACATGCTACTGTACATCCTGTCTCCCTTATCCTCTCCCAGCTGCACCCCTTTCCGCCTGGACCAGCCGGAGTCCTCTGAGATGCTGTCTGCCTCCCCTGGGGTTGAGCCGGAGGCTAGGCCAGGAGACAGGGGGGTCCCCAGTACTGATCCAACAAGAGATGCCCATTCCTTGGGCCCCCCACTCCTGCAGAGAGAGTCCTGGCCTTTCCCGGGCCCCCGGGGAACAGGCAGTGGTAAGGGGGTCTCTCCCTGAGGTAACCTGAGGAGATACTTGGGGGAAAAGTCTGCCAGAGCAGCGAGAATGCTAGGAGCCTGAGGCTGGGCGGCCAGCTCGGAGTGACGCCCAGTGGCCAGGGCTGCAGGGTGCATGGGGGGCTCCTCACCACCCAGCCCCTCCTGCTTCAGGTCAACAGAGGAAGCAGCTGAGGAGGCGCCAGGGGACCCCAGAGGCTCGCCCACCCTCCCGGCACTCCTGTGCGGCCCCCGTGGCACCTCCTTGGGGTCACTCTCTTGCTTCCAGGATGGCGTGGAGGTGGGCTGTGTGGGGGCTCCCGGGGTCTCTGCTTCCAGAGACTCTGGCTGCTCCTGGCCCAGCTGCTCCTCCACTTTCAGCTTCTTCCTCTCCGAGGGCAGCTTGTCCCCCACGGGCCGGGGCTCACCAGAACCACCGCTGGGCTGTCTGGGGACAGTCTGTGCCCACGGACAGGTCTCCTTCATGTCCCCACTGCTTTGCTCAACTCTTTCCAGCTTGGGGTCTGGCAAAACTAGCCTGAGGGCCTCTAGGTCACCTCCTTTGAGAGGGCCGGGCGCTGGGGGCAGCTGCAAGCCCAGTTCCAGCCTCCCACTTGGGAGAAGCAGAGGGCTCTTGCTGCCCAAACAGGGGAGATCTCTGCCACCAAGGGTGGGGGATGACACAGCCCTGCTTACCCTGGGCTGGTCACTGCCTCCTGCACTGGACACTGTCTTCCTCTGTTTAGGAGGCTCAGTCACCAAGGAGCCCTCCTGGACTGGCGGACTTCCCTGAGGCCCCAACTTGGCCCCTACAGAAGGGTCCCCGCAGACAGGGGTCCTCCTGTCTTGGGATGGGGTTGGGCCCTTGCTCCCAGCTGCCTCTTCCTGGGGAGGAGGGTCCGGCTCTGCCCCATTGCCCAATCTCACTCCCCTGGCTTTCTTGCCTCCATGGGGGCCAGTTTTCATTTTCTGGTAGATTCTCTTGAACGTCTCCTTCCCATACACCTGCCACTTCTCCTGGGAGAACATCTTCAGCTTCCTCTGGCTGCACTTCTTATTGGCCATCCCCTCTGCCGTGGCGGTTCTCTCTCTACTTGGGTCCTCTGCCAAGGCTGGGGTGTCTCCAGCGGGGGTACATGGAACGTCCTCAATGGCAGCCTGCCTGACCAGGGCCCGGGGGTGCCCGCTGGGGACGTCAGCCAAGGTCAGCCCCCAGCGGCAGCCCGGACGGGCTGGGGTGGGCCTGGGGCTCAGAGGCTTCTGCGTCCTGGGGCAGGCGTCCTGGGGGTCCAGGGGCTCCAGCCACGTCCTGGAGCCCTCGACGAAGGGCAGCGAGTTGCTCCTGGTGACGGGGACGCACTCCACCGAGGTGGAGAGCTGAGTGGGAACGGAGTGGAAGAAGAGGGGCCGCGACTTGTCCAGGGGCGCGAAGGTGGAGCTGGCGGGGCCCAGGGCGGTCCTCCTGCGGCCGGGCCCGGGCGCGCGGATGTCGAAGTGGAAGGAGTCCTTGTAGGTGTAGGGCATGGGCAGGTCGATGCTGCCCTGCTTGGACAAGACGGTCTTGCGGGGCCGCACGTTGTCCAGCTGCGGGTCGTCCACCACCGCCTGGTTGTGCGAGATGAGCCGGGCGATGCGCTCTTCCAGCCGCTTCTTCTCCAGCTCCAGGCTGGGCCTGGCGCCCCCCGGGCCCGGGCCGCCCTCGCCCTCGGACTCGGCGCTGTGCTCCGACAGGCTGTGCCGCGGGCTGCAGGCCACCTGCGGCTGCTCCGCGCTGTCCGAGCGGGACAGGTAGCCCGAGTCGGTGCTCTCGCACTTCCTCAGCCTCCCCTCGGGGGCCTTGGCGTCCCAGGGCTTCTCTGAGGACGTGGCCTGCTGCCGCTGCAAGGAGCACGGCCTGCCCACGGTCGGAGACTTATGTCCAGGCAGCTTCCGCCGGGGCTGAGTGCAGGCCAGAGGGAGCCCGGGGGACGCCATGTGGGTAGAGTCTAAAGGGCCCCCTCTGTCAGCAAATGTGGGCCCTGGACAGGGGACAGCGACCATCTTTGTCTCTAGGTTCTTGGCAACTGGGGAGAGATGGGCACCTGAAGAAAGGGGTCCCTCTGAGGCCCCTTCACCCGTCCTCTGGCTCCAGCTTTCCCCCCTGCCCTCTGCTCTGGAGGTCTCTCCGGCCTTGTCCCCCTCCTCCGAGAGGCTGCCCCCGGCCCCCTCGGACTCCGAGGACAGCCGGGAGTTGTTGAGGTGCGTCTGGGTCCTCCTGTGTTTGTACAGGTTGCTCTGGGTCTTAAAGGCGATGCCACAGGTAGCACACGGGAAGGGCCTTTCGCCCGTGTGGGACCGGATGTGCTTCTCCAGAACACTGGGCTTCAGGCAGTCCCGGCCGCAATGTGGGCACAGGTGCTTGCCAGCGTTCCGCGCCTTGCCTGGGCTGCCCAGTGTGGGCCCCGGGCCCGGAGACAGGACAGGTAGAGCACCCACGATGTTCACGGTCAGCACTGGGGCCGCCGGCTTCCCCATCTGGGCAGGGCCAGGCCCTTCAGGCTGCAGCAGGGGACTGAGGATGAAGGGCACGCTGCCCCCATCCAGGCTTCCAGTCACCAGGGGGGCACGTGGCTGGAGGCCCCCCGGAGGCACCGTGTGGTACAGCGGGATGGGCAGGGCCTTCAGGAATACGGTGGGGGCCAGGCCCTGCTCTGGCGGCAGAATGACGGGGCTCAGGGTCAGGTGAGGTGAAGTCTGCCCACCTGAGGGTCCTGGGGGGCCAGAAGTGGGAGCTGGCTGGTCCCTGGCAGGCAAGGCAGGGCAGGTGGGTTCCGGAACCTCCATTCCACATCATCTGGGGAGCCCAAGATGCCAGGCAACCTGCAGGCAACAACCAAACTTTACTACGGGTACCTCCCTTCTCTCCTTGTACAGTAAACTCTTCCCTACCCCCCAACCCCCACCGGACATTTCATCACCCCATTGAAGCCTGACACCAATCCCCCAGGAAAAGCACACTTATCCCCAAGTTAAGAAAAGGAAAACTGAGGTTCAGAAAGTGGAAGTGACTCATCATGCAGCTGATACATGGCAACACTGGATTCAGACCCAGATCTGTCTGAAAACTGTCTCTTATTTAGCATGTCCAGAGGGAACTCCTGACTCTTGCTCTTTACTCAGATCCATGGCAGATTTGTCACCATTAGCCCTTGGGGCCAGCACAGTGCCCCCATGCAGAGGAGGCACTCAGAAAATGTGCTGACTTCATGATAAAGAAAACTCATGCAACTCATCAAGGTCCTCATAGTCCAAGTGATTCATGCACTTGGGGGAAGTCCCTGTCCTTATCTGGGACTCAGTTTCCAGATCTGTAACATGGACAGAGAATCATGGGTTCTGAGTCTCTGCTGTAGGATGAAGACAATAAGGAACAAAACTGACCCAAGGGAAAGCTTGCCACATTTAGCAGACAGAAATACAGGATTCCCAGTTAAATTTGAATTTCAGATAAACAATGCATAATTCTTTAGCATGAGTATGTCCCAAATATTTCATGAGAATTACTTTTAAGTACAAGTATGTCCCAAATCTCTCATGGGTCATGCTTATAATTAGACATTGTGCATTGTTTATCTGAAATTCAAATGTAACTGGGCATCTTACACTTGATCTGGTGACATTACCAGGGAAAGGAGCCTTTGTCAGCCTTAGGACAAGGCTCAGGTCTCTGCTCAAAGGTGGGGCTTTCAAAGCCCCTTCAGATTGAGGTGGGAGAAAATTGGTTCTCTCTAAGCCAGCAAAAGCCAATGGGAAAATGCTAGGGAAGGGTGTAAGAGAGATATGCTCTTTGAGTCACGAAAAGAAAGCCAGGTGTGACAGGAAAATGTTAGGCCTCTAGCTAGAGGACCAGGGTCCCCAGATCTTTCTTCCTTAGGCTCCCATCCCTCAAGAGCTCCACAGCACACTTCACCCATCCCTCAGCTCAACACCTCAAAAAAAAAAAAAACCAAATGCCAGCCTTCAGCAGCAAGGTTGTCTAAGCAGGGTGTGGTAGAAGTAGCAGCCATTTCATACTGGCTTGTGCAGGCTCAAGAGAGCTGATTGTTAAATTCTCAAGACTTTTGCAAGCCAGTTGTTAAATGCAGCCATAATTAAAAGTCAAATTACATTAACTCATAATTAAATAAATTATATCAAAAACAAAGATACTACAGCCAGATATCTATATACAAAAGAATGAAATTGGACCCCAGCCTCACGCCCTAAACAAAAATTAATTCAAAATGGATCACAGAAAGGATGGAAAAAGATTTACCATGCAAACAGAAAAGAAAAATGAGCTGGAGTAGCTATTCTTATAGATGATAAAATAGACTTTAAACTAAAAACCATAAAAAAGAGACAATGAGGGACACTACATAATGATAAAAGGATTGATCCATCAAGAAGACATAACAATCATGAATATATACGCACCCAATGTTGGAGCAGACAGATTTATAAAACAAACTTTAATAGACCTAAAGAAGGAAATAGACACTAATACCATAATAGCAGGGGACCTGAACACCCCACTGTCAATATTGGACAGATCATCTAGGCAAAGAATCAGCAGAGAAACACAAGATCTAAACAATACTCTAGACCAATTGGACGTGGCAGATATCTACACAACATTCCATTCAACAACCTCAGAATATTCATTCTTCTCATCAGAACATGGATCATTCTCCAGGATAGATCA